CTATCTCTAACGCTACAAGCAGCAAGAATGACTGGTGAATGACTTCTCTGAGCTTGTAAGCAAAGTCGATCTCTTCAACAGAGCAGATACTCCTCTGCAGGAGCAAGGCCCAGTGTCCATCACCACAGAACATTCCCCCCCTACTTCTGCAAGTATCTAAGCAGCACAATCACAACCTTTGAAAGATTTTACCCTTTGCCTCTTGCACGCCCTGGGAAGCTCGGCTTTCGCTAGGATTTTGTAGGCATGTTATTATTTCATCAGCGTTCGACTCTGGTTGTAGTGGGGAAAGCAGCAAACAAGCAGGACTCGCAGCGTGATCTGCGATCTGCCAGGCTGCGGCTCTGCGGCTGTCACCTGGTGAGCAAACCTCCGGATGCCGCCTTCCGCTAAATACGCAATAGACAATAACCCTGAAGCTGGAAGGTGTTCAGGTACCATAGTGACAGGCACAGTTCGGGAACACAGAAGAGAAAACAGTCTTGCTTAAGGGCTTCAATTAGCTTCCAGCTAAGATGATTACAACATTTCCTAGGGGGCAAGGAATCCTTCAAAGAGAATCAAATCAAAACACCCAGCTGCACGGACGTCCTGGCTATGAACCGTGCCTGATGCCGTCTGGGCAGGGCTCTGCTGCCCGGCCACCCCAGCAGCACCTTCTCCAGCACAAGCAAAGCGCGGTGGAATTCCCTCTCGCCGTGTGGCTCTCGCCTGGCGAGATGGCAGGCTTGCCCTGGGGGACGCCGCTTGGGTGGCGGGTGCTGGCCTGCCCCAGCCGAGGGGACGGGGCTCTGCTTTCTCAAAGCAAACAGCATTTTCTTCCCACTGCGGTTTTTTTCCACGTCACTTCATGCACCTTAGAAACTTTCCGGAGGCCTCTAGCATTTTCACTCATGGGAGGAAAGCGAAGAACGAAGGGCGAGGTGGCCCGTGTAACAAATGCGCTTCGTCGCAGGCTCTGCTGCTCGGGACCGGAGCCCCCCCCGCCGCCGTGACCCGCAGGGACAACTCCCTCTGCCCAGAGCCACAGCACGACGGCTTCCAGCGCCTAAAACTGAATGACCATTTAAAAGGATTATTGACTTCCAGCTACGTTCAGCCTAATTTCCTTTGTGCAACAGTGTGTTTAATTGCAGCGATTCTAATTTACTGTTGCAGAGCACAAGCCCAACTCTAAGGATAAATTAAAATGACAGCTCCATGGGAAGTTTGGAATTTAACTTTCTGACTTATCTGATTTGATGCAGATACAAATATTTAAATCCAGCCAAGGAAACAAACAGCCTGTTTCTAAGAAGTTCCAGCTGGAATGGGGAAAAAGGATTTTGCAGGAAGAGAGGCCACAGCAGTTACTGCCCTGTCGTACTCCTCGCGGGCACAGAGCGGCTAAGCAGAGCTTCGGGCCGGCACGCTGCGCTCCTCCCTCTGCAAGGCTCAGTTGGGTTTGGGTTTTTGGTGGGGTTTTTTTCCCCCCTTTATTCCTGCCCAACTACTTTGCTCTATTGAAATAAGAGGTTTTACTTTCAAATCTCCGTTGTACAATTCCCCAGCTCTCTTTCCAAGGGAGAGAGGCAAGCACCAAGCCTATCAAGTGAAACACAGTGAGTCTGGGGCACGATTTGCTGCCAAGAAGGCAACGTTTCTTTTGATTTTTCTTATAATCATGACCAGCTCTGTGCTCCTGTCTGCAGATTAGGCTGGGATCCATCTCACCCCCCCGAGCCGGCAAGAGGTGCCCCAGCCCAGTCCACAGTCCCGCCTACGCTCTCCGTAACCCCTGGGGAGAGGCGAGCGTCATCCGCAGGCAGTCCATCCCATCCCCACACTGATGCACGGTACTTTTATTGAGACAGAGCGAAGCTAAATTCAGAAGAGATTCATTTTTAATTCCGAACTCCGAAAATTCAAATCATATTTCTAATAAACTGGGGGTTTTTTTTCAGGCAAACAAACAGAGCACTCAAATTTTTAGCGCAACCGCATCCCGTGATCCAGGCGCAGTCCCAGAGCGAAGCCACTGCCAAGGAAAACACTCTGCTTTCGGGATACTCCCTGCCGACGGCGAACTCGAGCGAGCAGCCCGACGCTCCCGCCGCCCCGCGAGAGGAGGGG